TAAGTATCATGATCCAGCAAGCACCTTCATCATGACTCGGCTGGTACATCTCTGGATTTCTGCACTTAAACGGCCAGGAGGCCTTGGTCAATGCAGACAAGAACCAGTGCAGAGAGCCCTGTTTAATTTTTTGCTGTTAAAATTGCAGGGATATCAACAATTGCCGGTCCCGTATGAGGCCGGACAACGAATCAAACAGCCCGGTCGATCTGAGGACAGTTGATTTCCCATCAGGCTTTTGAGGCATGAAGTATAAACTGACTCTTAGGTATGACGCAGGAATACGACCTTGTATGAGCGAGAACAGTACAAAGCACAAGGCTGAAGTCTGCATTCTGGACTCCAGACGTTGAATGCTTGTATTATTACCGTGTTGATAGGCGGCTAAATGGATCCTTGTCGGCTGGTGCCCATACATGACGGATTTCTAAACATAAATACACTTAACTTTGATCTGTGCATCTGAAAGAACATACAGATAAGAAGTATTCCATAGCTTCTCTTGCCTTGATTCCAATAAAGGACTGTCCAAAGATTATGTAGGTTTCTTGGTTAAGTTCCAGGCTTGGTTAGATCACAGCAGCCTATCCAGATGCTGGATGGCTGTCGATGCTTCACTGTGTACGGTTGTCAATGAATACTTTGCTGAACATGTAGAGAGGTACTTGTGAGCACTTCCTTTTCTCTTATATGAGATGACGAGCATCATTCAACCTATAGCGAAGGATGAAGTACCTTATACGCTGCGAAAGTCTGCTCCCTGTCAACGTCAACTGGGGGATTCATACCTAGCGCAGATTCCTGGGGGCCCTTTATCTTGGTATATCAAGCGATCTTTGCTGTCTACAAAGACACGACAAAAAAGGGCCAAAAAGAAACTTGGGGTGAGCCGGGATTGAACCGGCGACCTTACGATTTAGTGACTGAGTTCAACTTCAGTCGTACGCTACTCCCAGCTGAGCTATCACCCCATTTGATGGTGTTAACTTTAGAGTTTTACAACTAGGTGCCAGAATGAATGTAGCTGACTAATCTAATAACCCCATAACGTAATTCCCGGGTGAGCCGGCCACCCGGGTCAGCCGGCCACCCCTCATCCGATTTCGACGCGTTCGAACGTTTGAAGCCATCCAAATCAACCAAAACAATATATTTTTATTAGATCTAGCTAGTATGGCGTGTAGGGCATCTAGTTCTAATATGCCCTATAATGAAGCAATTAGAACACCTTGGTGGCGCGCGTTTTAGGGGTTCTGAATGTAAAGGCGCGGAATCAATGGATGGCCCCCCCCCCCATCTCATTATTCTGCTCATTTCTTGCCTGGATAAGATCCCTAGCTTCCTGGATACAGAGTCCTTCATTAGGAGTTATCTGGCGCCTAGATCTCTTTGATTTCCGCCTCTCCTTCTCATTAGCTGCATGTAAATCATGATTTTCCTTTACTAGTAGAGCTGCGCTATGCATAGCCATCTCATAACCCTTTATAAGCTGCTGGATAGCTAGTTTTAAAGGCATTAAAGGGCTTTAAGATTGTTGTTTTAGGAGCTTCTTAACTGAGGATGCTTGCTTTTATAATTATCAAAGTGTATAAGGCATAGCAAGCTATGAGGAGCTGGTTAATTAACTAGCACAGCTTAGAGGGGGGGTAGGGGTAGATACAGAGATATTTAGCTTCTCAAGCACTCTCTTTAGCTTAAAAGGGTAGATTCCAGCTGCGGTAAAGCCATTCTAGATATTTAGAGGCTTAAAAACCTCTAGATGAGCTGTTGGATATGCTCAAAGGAAGTTAAACTTATTAATATAGTTATATCCTAGGCGCATCTTCTCCTCAACAAGGCATCTATAAGCCTGTTTTAATAAGCTAAAATAACTAACATCTAGTAGTTATAAGAGATAAGAAAAATGAGCAGGCATATAGAGAGCAATAATATCATTCTCTTTACAGGCTTTATTAAAACCAGGTATTAGATAGCTTCCGTAACTATCTAAGATAAGTAGATAATATCTTCTAATTATATAGCTCCTTATTACAGGGATAAAGATCTTTTAAAGCCACTAGAGGCCTATCTCATCTATTATCCATTCATTTTAACTAACTTTGATTCTCTAATTAGGTGGTAGAGTTTAATCTTAATACCATCCTTTAATATAAACCTTCCCCTTAAAGATTATACACAAAGGAAGCACCTAGCCAGTTATATTAATGCATTTAATTATTATAACCTATTCCTAATTACCTAGCTGAATAAGATGAGGCTTCCTAGGCATATTAGCTCTTATAACTACCTTAGTAGTTGCAATCAAGCCCATAGTAAAGCCAGTTTCATCAAAATTATAGATATCTTTATAGGAAATACCATATTATATCTGGATCTTTTATAGGCAGTTAAACCACCCCTTAATAATCTTTAGATCCTCACAATAAGCTTAGCTATAATTATATTATTAAATATATTAAGTTTTGATCTCCTCACGCTAATTAGTAAAGATAGATACCCAGTTCTTGCCAACAGGTTTAAATCCAGAGGGATTATCTGCCTGGAGAAGGATATTGGCCATCTCTTACACATGAGATGGCCTAGGGGGGACTCCACACAGATCCCTAGATAGTATCTATTCTACTAATAATTCTTCTTGTGTAGGAGATAGTCAGTGATTATAGCTGCATTGTTCAATTTGATATTGGCATCCATTCAACCGATCTTGGAGGGTAGATCTAGGCATGTTGAATATCTCTGCAGCGTGGTGAATGCTTGAAATTTCATTCTTTTTCAAAGTAGATATTGCTAGTTGAATCCTTCCCTCTTGCTCCACCAATTTTCCAGGGGTTTGACGTGGTTTTGATGGCATTTTGGTTGATTTGGATAGCTTCAGGATTCAAACGCGTTGAAATTCAATGAGGTGGCCGGCTGACCCGGGTGGCCGGCTCACCCGGGAATTACGTTAACTAAGGTAGTTAACTAACTGGTCAACTAGTTATTGGATGGTCCGATTTTACTATACCCCAAACTACCCTTACCTGTCCCATGTCCTGTGGTCTGAAAAGTGGCAGTAAATATTATTAGACTATAGAGCTACCATGTTGTCAGCATGTACTTGATCAAAATAAGATGACAATGGGAAAAATGTAGATATTTGGCCATGTGCCAAATCATCCAACTGAACCATCGCCCTGTTTGTTTTTGAGTTCACATCCATTATAATACGCGATCTCTTGTTGACTGCCTAACCTAGCACGGTAGGCAATAGTTAGGTAGATTCTGATGATGCTGACTAACACTCCCTTTACAACATGAACAAACTACTAACTAACCTTCAAGACTCATGATAACCATGAATTAGCTCCGTGACGCCTCAAGCCCTGCAGAATGTTCCAGAGTTTCTCAAGAACCTACACATCCCCAACAAATAGAAACTCGCTTCCTTGTTTACCTGACATTAGTGGCACACTATCTTATCCAGTACTCCATTGACTTGGGGTGGATGATCGTATGTAGATCATTCTCAATCTTCTGTGGGTTAAGGGGGATGTCTCTTCCTCTTCCGGCTTGGATCAGTCGCTTGTACATCCCCGAGGTGCTTTTGCCTGAGTCTCCTTAGCACCACTTTCATGGTAGAGAAGTTTGCTTTCCTAAGAAAGCTCTGTCGCACTGTGGGATCGTCCCTGGGGTCAAAAACTTCACTTGTGACCTTGGTCCAGAACTTTGACAGGACTGTTGAATTGACGGTGTCCCAATTCTCGACTGGCCTGAAATTTCGGTCTTTCCCCTTGCAGCTCTTGCATTTTAGTCGTGGAATGACGAAGCGAGGCTCTTTTTCTATCGTCCATCGGGGATAGCCACACAATTTCGGACTACTGCAACTCATACATATTGTCTGAACTGTTTTCGGTAACCCGTCGAGTTCCTCTTCCAAGCGGCAAAGGAACGAGTCAAAGTCCCCACGCCCATTCTTGTTCGGGGGATTTTCCAGAACTTTTCGGGTGCCTCTTATATGCGGTTGCCACTCGTCAAGCGGAACAAGGTCTGTCCTGCCTTTGCACCCTGGTCGACCGCAACCCCCGACTTCGAGTGTCCTTACGACATAAGCCGCGCGCTTCTTCATTGCGAATCGAGAAAAGGCATCGTCGAGCACTCGGAGACGACAGGAAGAACATTTTCTCTGCATGACTCGTCCAGGTGCACCAGGTATGGTTAGCTCTAAGATTATGTGCCTCCTTTTGCGGGCAATAGACTCGGTATACGTCCACGCCACTTGGAGGGCTAATTCTCCTATGGATGCAGTCTGAATATCATCTGATTGAAGCGTGTTTTCACCACAGCCAAGAAGCAAAAACACCGTCTCAAGCTCCTCGCGGCTTTCTATTGCGACTCCACAGATCTTCAGACCATCTTGGTCTTGTAGCCAGTCAATAATTTCCCTGGGCAGATCAAACCAATCGGAGTCTACGACTGCAGAGTTCCCAAGACCACTCAATCTTTCTTTGGTTAAGGCATCTAAAGATAAGTTTTGACGGGAGATCCTTTGGCTAACAGCAAGCCAGGATTTAACCAGGTGCCGCACTTTTCCGCTATGAGATCTCCAAAGCTCCTAATACTCTCGTTAAATCTCTATTTCCAATTACATTTTTTGGCCTTTGGATTCACTCACAAGATCAGTATTTCCGTCAGCATTTCTGATAGGGGGTTCCTGTGCTTCTTTCTCCTGATCCTTCTCTAAGCCCTGTAGGATCTGTCGAATTTGTCGCCTCTGTTCCTTCCTTTTGCTTTCAAGACATGATTGTCGCTCTTCTTCTTCTTGGGCCTTCATTGGAAATGCGGCTCTCGTCTCTTCTCTTGCAGACTCCATTAGCTTCTCACGAACATCTCGTTGCTCTTTTGTAAGACGAGGATACTTGTTGTGCGGATACTGCCCGTAGAAGTTGTCTTTGATAGACAGGCCAACCAACCTTGCAGCCAGACCTAATGCTGCATCCTGTATCTTTGCTTGGATGGTTCTGTCAGGGACACCGTTCGTTGTAGTACGTGGTCTGGGCTGAAAAAAACCACTGAGGGTGGTGCACCCAAAACACGAAGCGTTTTAGTGTTTTTCCATCTTCTTCTAGGTCCAAATAGAGTTTGACATCTTTATACTTCCCCCATAAAGGGAATCGAATCAGCCGACCTTGCTGTTCTACTTTCCTCCACACAACCTCGCCCCAACATATCTCGACGATAGCAGACATGTTTTGACGCAGATCGCGAACGAAATCATCGTGGGGCTTTTGGACGTCATCTGTCCAGAGGTGAAGATAGATTAGTGTCTCCTCTCTGCGGCAAATCTGGTCAAACATGAATGAATTCTGGGACGAGAATCCGTTCTCGTGTAGTAGATAGATGGTTGGGTTGCTTGGGTCGTCGGTCTCATTACTGTGTGGATCCGTGACATAGAACGTTGGATTGAGGAGATGGTGTGCTATGGGGGCAGCGATGGATCCACTAGGACGTAGGATAAAGTGAGCTGGTCGCTCAGTTCCACGCTGTCTCCAAGCACTGGTCTCTTCACGGACGAACTCACTGAACCGCCCTTCAAATTCCCAGACGTGTTGTGGCCCTGCTTTTCCACCGCGAGTCAGCATGCATCCGAAGACGAGAAGTCTAACATGACATACGACGCGGAAGTTCCCTTTCAAGCGTCCGTATCAGGGGCATGAGTCGCTGCAAGACTTCATACTCATCTTCATTCAGGAAATGACTTGGATCCTCTAACCTAACATGTGCAAAGAATTGAAAGGGATGGGAATCCTGATTGTTCTCCATAGTGAGGTCAGCATATGAAGGGAGTCGCGGTCAGTATAGAGCTGTTGGGCGAGGGCCATAGACGAGGTGTCGTATGTATAGAGGTCAGAGGGGCAATAGGTGAAAAGGGCAGGTAATAGGGAGAGGAAAAAGGGCAATGCAGGAGAAATGAGGAAATGAGTGAATGGGTTTGGGGAATGGTCGTTGCCAGAGACATTGATGACTGCCTCAACAAATAGCGAGAAAATGAGGCCGGTTGAATTGCTCTAGGCACACAGTGGGGGAAGATGACGGAATAGGTACAATATGAAGCCATCGAAAGAAACCATGGAGAAAAGAACCCTGCAAATATGTGGAGTTAGGAACAAGTGATGCTGAGCTTAGGCGCATGGTGTATTGATATTTTTGTATCGGAAGAAGTAGTCGTACTGTATAGTCGTACTTTCATATACCCAACATAAAGTAGCCGTCGAGAACACTTACCGTGCAGGTGTTACATAAGCCTCTACGGAGTAGATAGCCTCCATTGCACCCATATTACTACTGATCCAGCTGAAAATTGCGACATGCCCCGGTATCAAAAAGTTAAGTGGCCAGCCACCTGTGCCCTGTGATCTGCAGCAAAAAAGCCACCAAAGAGCACCTCGTAACGCACATATGCAGGCAATCAACTTGTTCTCCTGATTGGATAAGTTTGAGCCTCTGTTCGTATATCCATTTTCCCCTACTCCCATTGATTTAGGTGCTTGATACTCTGTATCGTCCTCGTGCTGTACACTACCCACCTTGCCTTGTCTCTACGGTGATGGAGAGCTATATTGGTGCATTATTTTCCATCCTTTCTCCATCAAATGGGGTGATAGCTCAGCTGGGAGTAGCGTACGACTGAAGTTTCACTCAGTCACCTAAATCGTAAGGTCGCCGGTTCAATCCCGGCTCACCCCATAATTCTTTTTGCGTTTCTCCCCGCTCTTTTTTTATATGATGTATATTTTTCTACTTTATTTCAACCCCACCACTTTCTGTATTTCTCACTCTCCTTTTTAATCACTCTTCGATTCACCAATTACCCTGCTATTGACGGTCAAGTACTGGTAAGCTTTAGAAACGCATACCCTCCCACCAATCACATGATTATTCGGAACATTAACGGCAGACATAATCAAGATTTAGATCACATATAATAAAATTGTACAGTCTTCCATCAAATGGGGTGATAGCTCAGCTGGGAGTAGCGTACGACTGAAGTTTCACTCAGTCACTAAATCGTAAGGTCGCCGGTTCAATCCCGGCTCACCCCATTTATTTTGTTTTATTTTTGCTCCTAAATAAATATTACGTCCAGCTACTACTAGGTCGGGCCTAGCTAGAAGTGTTCACTGCTTTTTTACATATGTACCAAGCCGTTAGGTGTATACTCTCCTGCCTACGTTAACAATCCTAGTATCGTGGATATCTGAACAGCAACGACATAAGTCAGTCCAACGGGATGCAAAACCTTCGATTTCACATTTTAATACAAAACCAATACGGGAATTGTCCCTCCACTTGCTTAACGCACATCCAGGATTCCCTCTGCAGCCGACTATGCTCATTCAAGTAAGGAAGCAGGATATTCTCCCAGTGGGCCCTCCCCTTGTATACGGACACGGTCTCTCGCAGTTTCGAATCGCCTCGGCCAACCGTTTTGGGATGAAAGGCTCTTTCAAGATCTTGGGGATCGGCTGAAATGGATGCGGATCGTAAAGAATGGCCCTCGAACGGAGGAGACGCCGTAAGGTCTGTCGCTCAGATCGAAAATGGATCTCGTCGACGGTCAATCCTCGGCTGTTTGCCGTAGCCCATACTGAATCCATACTGTTAGTTTTCGCATGCTCCGTCACATGAGAGGTGGACAGTACGCACAAGCAACTTCGGCGCCGCTCTGAACCCCCATTCAGTGAGACCAGTGGAGGCCATCATCGAGCTGGATGAAGAACTGCGGAAGATCTGGTCAGTCACGGTACGCTTGCAGAGTAATTAGCATGGCTCACGTTATTTCGCTCGACGGGCCGCTCGGGCGTCAATGCCTTGGAAACCGGTTCATGGACTTTTGCTATGTCGCGGCGTAGCGAGGCACGCCAGCCTCGAAATGCAGCGTGTCCAGCGACAAGCGGGATTTCTCCCGGAGTCGCCAAAATCCGGGCAGACAGACAGACAGCTGCTGCGTCGAGATGATATTGGCCGTCTAGCTCCTTAGTATGGTGGACGTTCCTGCGCTCGATAGGGCTGTCTTGTCTTCATTCCCGATCATCAGAACGAGATCATCCTGAACGAGCAGGGTAGATGTGACCATAGCCTCCGTTGGGGTTCTTCCAGACCGTCAGTCTATCGTCCAGTAGCATCAAGACACATACTCGCGAGGTATTGGAACTGTTCGCGGGTCAAACAGTTGTGCAGGGTAGTCCCTTCCAACCGAAAGATCTTCGGATAACGCTGGACGAGATACTTTATAAGTTGCTCATAGACCTCAAACCAGGCATCCCCTCGTAACATCATTGTCCACGTACTTCCCATGGCCATGGAAGTCCTTCTCCAGCTCTGCCTTCGTGACTTCATGGTACCGCGTGAAGTATGAATCCATCTCGATTCAGTTGTCCCAGTCAATCTCCGGAAACCCCTGCTAAGGTAAGTGATGATTGAAAATCGAATACTGTGGTACGGATATACATACTACCTTAAATGAAATGATTATTCGATATCAACACTAAATTTAGTATTTAATATCCTTAGAATATGAGTATACTGCTACGTGTGGAGGTAGTGGCAATAGGTAATACATGTGGCGAACGGTAAAAAACTCCAAGGTCCACATCGTAGCTATAGTCCGCCGTACATGCCGACTCGGATGGCAAATGGAGGAAAGAGACAGAAATCACTAGTCAGCGTATCTAAGATCATCACCAAGCAAATGAAGCGTCTTCCATCAACGACTTGAGTGCGTAAAGCGTAGACAGACAGTGTAGATAGTACCTTGGGGGTTGCTGGCTATTTATGAAACAAAAAACCCCTTCTCGGTGCCAGTCTCCGCTTAGACTCTGGCCCGACTCGGCATCATAGTCAGACGCTCCCTGGCTCCGTTCGCTCTGTCTCTCACTTTCTCCTCTTTTGATTTTGCCCCCTCTCCGACACATAATCAAATCCTCCGCTAGACTTCAAATCCTCCAGCTCTTGGACTTTCATTTCTGTCATTATTTTGGTTTATACATATTGGCCCAACTTTTGTTGATGTCTTGTATTTGACTCTGGTCCTTCTTTCATTCCTGACTCTTGTTTTTGCATTCTCATCTGAATCATCCATCTCGTGGCTGCCCGCGGCCACCACCATCAGGCTCTGACTGAAAGGACTGGTCTTGGCTCGATCAAAACTCCCTTTTCACTGTCCTCTTCTCCATCACTTTTCAGCTTCCTCATCTCCAGTCCATCAACGGGCCTCTTAAGGCTATTTGGGTCATCTTTGCATCCTCCTATTTACCGCATGATTTTGTCACAAAAACGACAAGCCTCTCGGTCCTTTTCTTTCTCCTCCAACCGTAGTCATCCCAAGTACGCTTTCGTCCGCATTAGGGGTTGAGAGCGAACGCCGTTCTTCCATCGAGCTACGAAATTTCCCCATTTTCGAACGACTGCTCTTTCTATCATCTCGGATCCTGTGAACTCTCCTGTCCATAATGCGGGAGGTGAACTTCAGCATTCCCAATGTCAACAAGGCCTCTGTCAATATTACGACAACCCTATATGACCGGCGGGCCCTCGATTGCACATCAACACTACCCCTCATAAACTCTCTCAATCATCTTGCCTATCTCACTACGTCCTCTGCCCGTATTCGCGATATTCTCACTGTCGATGGCGGCATTGAAAGACTTGTGTGCATACTCAAAGAAGGCCGGAGCAGGGACCTCATGGAGATGTGGAAGTGGAGTCTGGCCTTTCAATGTGTTGTGAATATCGGAGTGAGAGGTTCAGAAAGTGTGAGAACAAGGGTTGTCGAGGCCGATATGGTGCCGGTAATTGCAACGATCCTGGATAACTATATCAAGGTTGTCGACAAGGCACGAGCCCGAGCCGATTCCGAGTCTCAAAGACAGTCGTCCAGACATCATTCGAAAGCCGTGTCAACATCAAATGATGCCCCTGGACGTTCGTCCTTCCTGGAACAATCATCGACAGCTGAACAACGCACCTCTCGTCGCCATGCCCCCCCTCCGAGTATCGAAATTCCACCCCAACCTTTCTTTCAGGAAAATCATGTCGCTGATTCGAACGTGCTGGATGTCGCCTCTCCACCGCGTGTGCCCATGACCTCCCCTCCTGAGAGAAGCACTTTTGGACAAGACATACACCACCATAGAACAAACGACGGCCGCTTTGCGCATGTCAACCACCGACACAGAATGCAGCCTTTGGCTACAGCATTGCCTTCGATGGACGCTGCCGATGGCTTCGGTCTGCGGCCCGTGCGTGATAATGAGCGGTTACCGAGCATGCTTCCTGGCTTCCACACCGGACTCACTTCTCAGCCAGATTCTCCGACTACCCCCAATGCTCCTGTACAGCCTCGAAGCAGCGCACAGGCTACAATTGCGAGGCAACGTCCGTCGTTGAGACAGCAGCAGTCGGCATCGGGCGAATCCGACGATGGAAACGGAGACGGTTCTACAATGGATGAGGATCCTGCTTCCACGGAGGCAGCTGAGCCTATCGTTGGACTGCAGAACAGAATGGACATCGATGACGTCGGCGAGAGAGAGACGATACTAGGCGGCGTTTCCGACTCTCACGATCTCACAGTAACAGATCCTTCCGAAGAGCAGGAAGCAGAGACCTTCAACATTACACACCGTTCCACAGTGGATGGCAGCATGATCAATACCGACAACGCCCAAAATAACGCCACTCTGGGGTTGTCCCCTACCCAGGCAGCTGATAACGCCAACTCTCCCGCTCTTGTTCCAAGCCCTTACTCTCTATACTTTCGC